CATAATACACTTTATCTAAATATTTTTATGATAAACAACAAGGGGAAATTTCGGAACGTTATATCACCTTAAAGCATTGAATAATAACACTGCGACTATTTATAGAAAGAAACAGTGGCATTACTTTATTTACTTTTTACACCCCCCCCCCCCAAAAAAAAAAAAAAAAAAAAAAAAAAAGTTTTTTTTTTTTTGCCCATTATTCATGGTTGTTGAAATTTAATCTGCTAATTTTTCCACAATGATGCCGTCTCTCAATATTCATGTCAACCCTGCAACTTTTCAAATTTGTAAAGTGAAATCTGTACTTCGGCGGACAGTTCCTTGCTCGGGTGTATTAAAAATGGAACAGTGTTTACAAAGTCTGAGCTAGAAGAAAAAAAAAGTTGAAATAGTTTGGAAACTTTCATGAAATCAATGTATTTTAAAGTAAAGAATAACGTGGTGGATGGGGGACACACACACACACAGACATACACACACACACATACACACACACACACATAGATATAAATGTGAGTGTGTGTAAATTCCTCATTCATTTCACATAATGTGCGTTTTATATGTAGATAGATATATAGAGATATACAGTGGATAGATAGATATGTAGATATCGTACATATTCAGTAATATAACTTCTGCAAGAGCCCAAAGAAACTCAAGTTGAAAAATTAGACCAGCAAAGTCTCAAGGAGATCAAGCGCACGATATAAAAAAAAAAATGAAAAGGTCGACTCAGGTAATCGGGTCGCATCCTCTCAAGCTGAATGAAGAAAATCCAGAGATGGTTTCAGATAAACTACTCCTTTGATGCTGTGGGCATTATTTATATGTATAAATATATGACGCTATATCAACATAATATATAATAAAAAACGCGTCTACTGATCGATTCAGCTAAACGAAACGTCTGATGAAGTCGGGTAAACGAGTCGATTGATAGGTAAACGAGTTCACTGTCAGTCAGATAAACAAGACGATTGAATTAATTGATCAAGTTATGAATTCAATTGCCTAGTCAGATTAAGCAAACTAAATGATATCGAGATAGTTATAAGAGCCAAGAGAATAAGTTAGGAAAACGTTTTTTTTTTTTTTTTTTTTTTTTCTCTCTCAAAGTAATGAATGGGTCTTACATAATACATATCTCGAAATGCCATATTCTATAACGAAAGGGAATTCCAGAACGTAATGATGTTCGATCATTTATGCACATATGATAAGTGATTAATGAACACTTAGAGACCAAAAACGGTGGAAATAACATTAATACTTTTACATTACAATATATCTTCTCTCTCGTGTCTTATCCACCACTTCCTACGCAATGACTGAACATCTCAATATTTAAGTCATTCCTGCGGTTTTGCAAATTTGTTGAGTGAAATTTGTACTTCAATTGACAGTTCCTCGCTCAGGTGCATAAAAGACGGAACAGCGTTTACGAATTCTTAGAAGCGATAAAATACTAACTTGAAACATGAAACATGAAAACTCACTGAGGTTGCATTTCAGGGTACGGAATAACTTCAAAACATGGAAGATGGAGAGTCGGATTATTTCGATAAACATACACACAAGTGTTATATATGTGTGCATGTATCATATATATTATATAATGCATATATATATATATTTATATATATATACATATATACATTATATATATACATATGTGTGTATTTATAGGTATATATATATATATTATATACTATATATATCTATATATTTACAGTAGAAACACGTATATATATTTACATATATGCATATACATATATACATACATATATACACATGCATGTGCATATATACATATATATATATATATATATATATATATATATATATATAAATGCATACATATATATATATATATACATATATATATATATATATATATAAATGCATACCTATATATATATATATATATACATATATATATATGTATATATACACACAAATGCATACATATATATACTTATATACATTTACAGTACACACACACATATACATACATATACGTATATATATGTGTGTACATACATATGTACAGACATATATGTGCATACATATATATATACATGCATTTATGTATATACATATATATACATACGTATATATACATATACATACATATATATACATATACATATACATATGCATACATACATATATACATGTATACACACATAAACATGCATACATATATACATACATTTAAATAATACATACATATATGCATACACACACATATATATAATTATATATATATGACTGTGAAAATGCATTTTTACGGTAAATAAAAGTTATTGTAATACAGGCTAGCCATTTGTAGTTCGCGTACATGTGACAACCATATCAGCGTTGCTTGGAAGTGGCCAAAGTAAATGGTTAAGAACGAAAGACGACTAAAATAACTTAAAAATCCCATACAACAACAAGTTATCTTTATCAAGATATTTGCGTTAACACGCTAGAGTGTCGGGCTTACCAACATCATAAGGCACATGAGGAAGACAAAATTTGTAATATGAGAAATTTTGTTCAAGCGTACTGAAAAATGCGAAAGGTTACATACCTTGTTTAAACACTGAGCTGTCAGTTCCAATTTGTCCAGCCAACAAGCTTGAAGGCACTCCTGGGAAGCCATAAATTTCGCTGCACGACCCACTAACTTCGCCCCGAGACCCCTACCTGATCATCGCACTTTCCCGTATTTGAAATAGTGAAGGACATTAATAGTACAATGCCTTTTAGAAGATTGACAAATAATTGGCTCTCTTGAGATTTTGGGGTAGAATTTCCAAATGATAAATCGCTCTGTAGAGCATGTCTCGAAAAAAGACAAAAAGCTGCACACGCAATATAGAGTGCTGTAGCTTGGAGCAGCAACCAAAACAAATCTGAAAACAGACTTGTATGAAATAAACTCGGATTACCAAAAAAAAAAAAAAAAAAAAAAAAAAAAAAAAAAACATGACTGGGCAAGCTTTTGCCAGGAAGTGTGTAGTATACTATTTAAAGAAGACGCCAGTGCTACAAGGCATATAAACGCCTTCAGCACAAGCCATCTCAATACTCCGCTCAATCAACTTCATTAACCTTATAACATCCTCTGACATCAAGCAGAAATAGAGAGAAGCAAAACGAGGGTTCGTCTGTGCCCTCCACATTTACGCAAAGGTAAGTAGAGATGAAGAGATTTCAGAGTGGAGTCTACTGCTGTTGAAACACGATGATCGGCTGGGGAAGTATAGCAATTGGTCTGGGAAATGCGACGATCAGATAGGGGAAAATGGCGATCGGATAGGGGAAAAAACGACGTATGGTGTTCAGATTGGGAAAACCGGCGATTACATAAAAGTAATATGCCAATCGGATTGGGAAATACGACGTTTGGATAGGGAAAACGGCGATTGGGTGAGGAAAAAAAAACGGCATACGTCGATCGGATAGGAAAATAATGGCAATTGGCTAAGAAAATATAACGACTGGATAGGGAAATAAGGTAATCTGATAAGGAAAAATGACAATCGGTGGGGCTCCGGTTTTTACGGAGTTCTTTGTTATTAATAGTTTTTTTAAAATTCGGTTTGTTCGTTCATTCGTACAGGCGACACCGTATGAAAGTCTGTGAGCAAACCTCGGAACGTATTGTTTAATTAAAACTATTATGTAATATACGATTTTTTTTCTTCTTTTTTTCTTCTTCTTTTTTGATTACCGATTACTGCTGATTTCATCTACATTCACTCCCATACTCTAACCTCAGTTCCCCAAATGATCCCCTAAGATAGTTAGCTAGAGTTGGGGCCTCTCACTGTATTATTAAAATTAAAATTCCCTAAACTCTGACCTCAAGCACTGCCCTTAAGGAAGTAATCAAAAACAGATGCTGTAGACCTTTACCTTCTCCGTTGAGCGGTTGACCATCCTGGTAGAATTCATAAGAAAATTTTATATATTACATGTCCGAAAATAACTACTCTTTCCAGACCTCTAATACCATATTTAGATTTATTTTAATATTATTATGCAATGTTTTCTTCGTATAATAAAGTTTGGGCACACATATGAGGAAAAAAAGTCAATAAACAAATATTCTAAAACTCTTGTCTACATAAGAAAAGCCTCCATGCCTACAGTACACTGGTCAAGGCCAATAAATCGCTACCACATTTTCCTTATTGGATTATTATTACAATATAGTTTTAGGGTATCCAGGGTATCTAATGCTTTTAGAAGGTCTTTTTCTTTGTCAAAATGATTTATTTAACGTTTACAATTTCAAATATGCCTGAATAAGCGTGCTGCTACAAATATTACAGAACAATTTCATCATTTATTGCGATTCTTTAAAGTTGGCATATACCGTATATTCAGATCTATTACGTATACATACACGCAATATATTTACCTATATTTTTTATATTCCAATGTAATTAAAGTATACATACTATAACTAGTGTAGTTTATGGTGCGCGATTGATGTCGAGTAAAAAAGATATATATTGTAGACCTATTTAGACTAATGACTTGGTTTTCTGCAACCTGGAGTTTATTTTATGGTATCCTGCAATCAGTTACAAATTATATATAGATCTGAAAAAGATCAAACCAAATAATGAGAAAAGACTACACTCGCTCTCCTTTTGCTAAATCCTGTTCCAACAACACACTGTATGAAATGATTAAACGGGAGGATGGGGAAAGTAGCCTACTGTTCAACATTTCTCATATGGTTCATAAATAGGTAAATGATTTTTTTTATTTATCAATTAAATTATCATCATCCTTATTATATATTTTTAAGTTATACGTCGTTTGCCTCTGTCCGATGTGGTCTTGTTATAAACTTTTACCGTTATATCAGTGGATTTCCTGCTAATTTACATGGAATTCGTCTCGAAAGCAAATCATTACATCTTTCTTTTTTCCATAGAGATCCTATTTTCTTTATTTCGGATGTTATTCTTTGCCTGTGCAGAAAATTTCATCTATCAGTGTGGACTTTTACCCTCTTTATGACTGTCCTTTAGCGTTTTTTCCTTCTTTGTGCAGTCATGTAAATATTTACCCTTCTGGGAAATGACCTGGTAAAGGGGAAGTTTTTTATTCTTATTTTTTTTATATCCTCATTACAGCCTCTGTTCTGTTATCGTCTCAGACTGAATAAAGTTAATCCGGAGGGGGTGGTTAACATAAACAGATTCTTTAAAACTCGGGTTTCTTAATGCAGCTGTTCATTAAGTGGTGCCGTTTCCTTCAATATTAATATCACTCACAAAAAAAAAAAAAAAAAAAAAAAAAAAAAAAAAAAAAAAAAATCGGAATGAGGCTATAAATACAAAAATAAATTATTCTTAAAACGTAGAACAGTTAATTAATAAGGTCGTAACTTTACTGGCATCAGTGATTAAAATCTAGGATAATTTCAAGGACCTAAACATGAACAAATAAAAAAAAATATGATGAAATATAAGAATCGAAATAGATTTATCAAATAAAAAGCAGCTAACTCTTCCCCCCCCCATTCTTCATCATCATTAAATTGAGGGGAGGGTGGGTAAATGAAAAGAATTAAAACCCTGATAAAGACAGAACACAGAAGAGAGAAAAAAATCCCAACCAAGAATCGGCAACGCAAGATTCGAACCTGTGGCACACGAACGAACGAACGAACGAATGAATCCCACCCGAAACGCTCAAAAATTACAAAACAAACAAACAATCATACAGAAAAAAAACAATCCCAACCCAAACGGATGCCTACTTACTAGCCGTATAAATCAAGCCCATTCCCCCAATTACCATATTTCCTCCCACAATGCTTCATTCATCACGAATTTCTGTATATTTTAAGATGCAAATTAGGCCTACCTTATGGCGAAGGGGAAGGGTGGCTCCCAAGATGACGAACCTCGGCAACCGAAACACTGTAATTCACTGAATGTAGTATTAAATTCACTGAATTCACTGTGATATTATATTCACTGAATTCACTGTAGTTAGTATTAAATTCACTGAATTTAGTATTAAATTCACTGTAGTTAGTATTATATTCACTACATTCACTGTAGTTAGTATTATATTCACTTAATTCATTGAAAGTAGTATTAAATTCACTGTAGTTAGTGTTATATTCACTTAATTCACTGAATTTAGTATTAAATTCACTGTAGTTAGTATTATATTCACTGTAGTTGGTATTATATTCACTTAATTCACTGAAAGTAGTATTAAATTCACTGTAGTTAGTGTTATATTCACTGAATTCACTGTAGTTAGTATTATATTCACTGAATTCACTGTAGTTAGTATTATATTCACTGAATCCACTGTAGTTAGTATTATATTCACTGAATTCACTGTAGTTAGTATTATATTCACTTAATTCACTGAAAGTAGTATTAAATTCACTGTAGTTAGTATTATATCCACTTAATTCACTGAATCTAGTATTAAACTTAAGGCCGAACAATATAACTAGAGTTTATTTTCATTATAATATTCGGAGACACAAGCTGCACTGTAAACACTTCACAACCGAAACGAAGACTGAGTTTTATGGCAATCACTATGTTTTGAAAGACAGGAAAGTACCAATATATCGCATTTAAAAAATAATGCACGGTCTTACACTAGCACCATCTGTCGACTTGACGCAATATTACTTTTATATTAGGGTAAACTATTATGCTTTTTAATGACTTCGTTAATCTGCAGTTTTCGCGGTGTTGATTCATAATTAATTGATTATTTTACTGTATAGTTTTCCTGTATGTTTTGTATTTTCTTTTGGTTTTCTTCGTTTCAATTAGCACCTTATTCTTACATTTGAAATAGTGAGAAGAAAGTATTAATGATAATAATATAGATAATAATGAAAGCAAGTATTTATAGTTTTCTCATTTTGTTATTCTAAAACTGGGAAACTATTGTATAAGTAAAAATATTATTTCGAAACAAAACAGTCAACAAGGACAGACAGTGCATGCATAAACAAGCAATGAATCAAAACATCAATATGCAAATATACGCATAACAAAACATGCAATGAGGGATAAAAAGTTGATATATAAATGTATATCAAATTATGTTATATCAGTATACTCATATGTATGAAAACAGACTCTGACAACCAACCAAACAAAAATCGTTTAATCAAAACAAAATTATTCACAAGCAAATATATACATAAGAGGTATCTTTGTAACACAGAAAACAAGACAGCATGAATGTGCTTTGGAATTATTAAATTATTGAAAGTTTTACTTCGATCCTTCGCATTTATCCTTCAGTTTCCCAGATACTTATCGTGCCCTACCCAGCTGTCGTGGCCGATATCGTAGCTTTGTTTCGTTTGCGAAGAAAATGACTACTAGATTCGTTCGAAACACGACGAGGGCTTCCAGAAAAACACTGTTTTCACCTGGATATCGATGTAAGGCGCCAT